AGCATTAATAAAGCCAACACCACTACCTGCATAATTACTAAGAAAAGATTTACAAAATCGTATGTATTTTCCTTTTCCCCCATATATTTTGCAATCATTTGATTTCTACCCTGACTTCATAGATCATGCTGTTTACTTTCTCACTCTTAAATTTCATTTTGTCTTAGTTCTGTAAGTCATTGTATGTTTAAAACTTATCTCTGTAGTTATGCTGTTGTCTGAAGCTGCTCTTGAGTAGATACTTCAAAACAAGTTCAGGTAATACTTTCTGAGCATTGTTTGTTGATAATAATTAAACTCAGCATTTTTAATATCAGTTTTGCTGTATACAAATTTCTTTGCTTATATTTTTCCTTGATATACTAATTGGTATTGTTCCATGTTATCATTTTGAAAGTAATGCTTTTAAAATGTCAGAGAGTAACCTATTTTTTGATGGTTTTGCTTAGATATCCAGGGTTTTTTTTTTAATTTAAAGTACAGTTAAAATTAGAACATGCATCAGAACTGTTCATGCTGATTTTGTATTCTCATAGTATATGAATGCTTTTTCAATAATTCAATGTTTATTATTACTTATAATTTTGAAAAATCAGGGACATTTTCTTAAGTTAGAGATTTTAGAATATATTCTACAACCTCATTTTCATCTCTTTTTAAAAGATATATATGAACTGAATGTTGAATCTTTGCCTATTGCTAATAGTTATTGTATTTCCATTTTTTTTTATTTTTAAATTTCTTTGAGTTTTTAAAACTCTTCCTTTTTTAACTTGTTTTTCCTAGGCACTATCTACTGCCTCTTGTGTTTATTCTCTCTTGTGTTCCTTCTGGTTCAGTGTTCATCTCTGAAATTAATTTTTCTTATACTACTAATTATCTCTTGCATTTTTGTCAACTTATTTCTGAGTTTTTAAAATTCTGACTTTTGTTCTTTTGTGTTTTGTAGCATTTTTTTAATATGCTTTCTTTGCATTAAATGGAAAGCTCAGTTATCTGTCTGTGGACACAACTGTGACAAGTTGTCATT